TCTCATCGCTGGCCATGTTGGCCCCACCATCGCTCAAGCTAGCGCCGCGCCTGCCCGCAAGCGGCAGGGCAACGTGGTCGTGCAGGGCGGGAATCCGGCAGCCCCCGCCGCCAAGGCTCGCACTCCCAGCGCCAACGTTGCTACGCGATCTCGGCCGGCGGCGGAGAAGGTGACCAAGGCCGCGGCCGGAAAGAGGAAGAGGAATCCGGCTGCAAACAAGGCGCCTCCTTCATCCTCGAACTCCATCCCGGCAAGAAGTGCCCCGCCGATGCCGTCCAACGGCGCTGGTCCCCCAGCAAGCGAGGTGTTCGACGAAATGGCCGGAAGGTATGCGTCTTCGGTCATCGTGCTTTCCTTTTGTTTTCGCCATTTGTGGCTAGCTCGTCACTTGTTATCGTTCAATATAGCCGTGGTTCAAACAATGGAACTGCCGAGTTCGTGACCTTGTTGGACACCAATGCCGTTGACATTGATCAAGCCCCGTTCGCATTCGAGTACAATGAAACAGAGGGTGGCATGGATGATCATGGTTTTGAGGACGAATTGGCCGAGATCAAAGCGGAAACGTTTGAGCAATCACAATCAAAATCTGGGAAAGGCCAAAGATCGAAGAACTACACGATCTTGGAAGATCAAGCTTTGATCCAAGCATGGACTGCGGTGTCTCTTGATTCATGCACGGGTACTTCTCAAACCGCCAAGAGATATTGGCAAAGGATCGAAGATCAGTACTTCCGCATCATGGCAAAGTATCCCAGTAGGACTCCTCGCACATTTCGGTCGCTTCAAGGCCGTTGGGAGAACATCAAGCCTATGTGCAGTCGTTGGGCTGCTTGCTTGGAGCAAGTACGCAATGCACCTCCAAGTGGTACCGTGGAATCCGACTATGTGAGTTTGTTTTGACTTTGTTCAAGTTGTGCACAATCATATTTGCATCATAAGAATTGATTAGATCACTTTGTTCTTCACATTGTGTAGGACAAGATTGCCCAACATAGATACAAAGACATGGAAGCTTCGGAAGGCAATTTGTTCAAACTAGAGCATTGTTGGGACTTGCTCCAAAAGTGCGAGAAGAGAGGCTCGCTTATAAACATGGAAGAAGATGAGGATGATGATGGCCCAAAAAATTTGAACAAGCCCGATGGCGACAAGAAAACTAAGGAGAAGATGAAGAGAGAGCAAGAAGCATCGAGCTTGAGGGAGAAGATTGATGCCATGGTGCAATCAAACGAGTTGATGTTGTTGAAGTCACTGGAGATCAAGAAAGAGTTGGCCGAGAAGAAGGCCCTCTTTTGCGTTTCTCCTATTGAACTTGGCTTTTAATTTGTGCCTAAAACTGTGTTATGTTGTTTGAATTTGAACTTATTTGTGAAAACTTATGTCAAATGCGAGAATTGAGTGTTTTCTTCCTGGTCGCCGCGGTGGTGACCGAGCAGAACCCGCAGAAGCCGACCCGTAAAAAAGCATATTTTAGAATATACTTTATGCGGATCCGTTTGAGGGGTCTGCGTCTGTGGCCGTCCGCGCCGGCCCGCAAAAACGGTTTTACACGAACTGCAAACGCGTTTTGCGGGCCGGCAGGATGCGGGGTCTACTAAAGTTGCTCTAACACTGGGCATAGAATGGGAGCCGGCTCCTCTGACGTGTAGAAGGAAGAAGGCAAGTCAGAGAGGTGGCGCTGGCATCTATATGATGTACTGTAGATAATTAGTGTTGGTAATTAGTGAAGTTAAACACTGTGCTGCCTTGCTAATAGTGTGGCTGTGGCGAAGCAAAGTCAGGGAGCTGTAGCTCTACCCGACTTCCCTTGCAAAGTCAGGGAGATGCAATCAACGAAGGCACGTATGTATTTGTTTGGTTCATGTAATCTTAAGCATGCTCTCTCATCTTCATATATATTTTTCAAATGTCTTCTATAATGGGCAGCACTCTGTGCCGGTGCGCCGGCCTAAAATTTGGGCCGGTCCAACCCTTGCCGTTAGATGCCCCCCCACATAGCCGTTGGATAGCGCCCTTCCTCAGCGCTTCTCACCCCGACATGTTTTCAGATCTAAAGAAACCACCACCGCAGGTTATGGCGGCCGCCCCCCGCCACCCCGTCGCGCAGCGTGCGGCCACCCTGCCCCGTTTGCCCTCACCGTCGACCGTCGCCGCCGTGCTCGGCAGCAACGCTCGCCGTCGACGCTTGCAAACAAAAAAAATTATCGAAAAAGCTGCTTTGTGTTGCCGCCCCCGTTGAATCAATTGAAAATATTGGTTCCAGCAAATTAAAGGTAAGTTTGTAGCAAAAAGTCGCCCGTCCAACGAAGAACTAACTCTGGTGGAAGCATTTTTTGGTTCTGGTTCCAACAAAAAAACATGGTTGTAGCAAAAAAATCGATGGTCTAGAAAGAACAAACGGCGGTGGGAGCTTTTTTTGGTGCTGGTTCCAGCAAAATAATTTGTCGGTTCCAGCAAACCTAGTTGTGGTTGCAGCACCCCACCCCTACGCACAAACTTGTCATGGTGACCATGCAACTCACCATGGTCACCCTGCAGCTCGCCGCGGTCGCCGGTTCCAGCAAAAACCAGGCACGGTTGCAGCTCATGCATCAACGGTTGTGGCATCCGTTGTGCTTCAACAAACTAAAACATCAGTGATAGCAAAAGATGCAAAGTTAATGGTTGGTTCCAGCAAATCAAAAGCCGGTGGTAGTAAAAATTGACGCTGTTTTCAGCAAAATACATAACGGTGGTAGCAAAAAAGACAAAAAGGGTGCTAGTTTCAGCAAAAAGAAAATGAACACGCCTATGGAAGCAGAAATTTGTGCGGGTTCCAGCATCTGGATGCCATGGTTGTAGCACTCGCCAGCATCCGGCGCGGTCCCAGCTTTTCTGGGCCACGGTTGCAGCTCCGCCTGGCCGTGATTCCATCATCCCACCATCGCGGTCGCACTGGTCTATGTCCGACCACGGCGCACTGCAGATAGCAGCTTCCGATGAGGCCGGTTCCAGCTCCGGCCACGGCTGGTTGCAGCATCACAGATGTCGGGTGCAGACCGCGGCGAGCGCGTCAAGCAGACGCAACCCCAGCTCACCGCCGCACAAAAAGCATCCACCGTCGCAGCATCACAGATCCTTTGCAGCTCCCCCATGTCTCCCAGTGTGTCACAGGAGGCGGTAGCAGAGAGAGCGTCGGTGGATTGTGGTTTTGACGGGATTAATGGGGGCGGTGCCCGCCGGCGGTAGAAGGGAGTCGAGGAGAGGAAGGAGAGAGCGAGGCAAGGGGATGAGGATTTCTCCGGCTGGCTTTGGTCTTGTCTAGAGAAGATAAGGCTAGTTAGTGAAATGAGGATAGGAAGGATGCCACCACGACGCGTGGGACCACGTGGAAAGCTATCAGGAGTGGCAAGAGTACCGCGCGTGACCGGCCCAAGCTTCGGCCGGTCCGCCGGCCTCAAACGTTTACCATTTATAATTCTACATAAGAAATAAAAGTGTAGTTTTTTTCTTTGAAATGGAAACGAGCGCATAAGGACCTGCTGGTTGGCTGTGGTGGAACTTTTTTATCTGAGAAAAGTTTTGGTTTGTTCTTTTAAAATGGAAGTGAGTCTTTTTTTTAGATGGATGTAAGGTCCCACATGTCATCTCCTAGTTGGTTGAGGTGAGAAAGATTTTCTTTTCTTTTTTTGTGAGATGGAGGCACGCCGGGGGAATCGGGCTCGTTTTGTGAGATAGTTGGCTAAGGCGCAAATTCATCTTATGCGGGGCGCAATAACACGTCCCAACCATCAGTACGATAGCAAACGGCCAAAGTGGCGTCATTGCACCTGCGGTCCATTTATTTCAATGGTTTCTTATTTTGACTAACAAATTATAAATGTATTGCTGAAAAAGGGGGGTTATATTTTTATTTCAAAAATTATAAAAATCGTTGTCAGCCATTTTTAAAGTAGAAACCATCATGTTACGAAATTCAAAAAGGTATTGTGAGTATGAAATGTTTGTCACCTTTTCAAAAAAATGGTCAACGCGCGTTTAAAAATATTCTTTTGAAAAAAGATCAATCCATATTATAAAAAAAAACATGTATATACAAGTAAAAGATAGTACATGGAAAAAAACAAATAGAAAATGGGGGAGAAAGAACCGAAATAAAACTCTGCTCATGGAGTTGGCGGAGCGCAGAGGCATTGGTGAAATAAATTACAGTCACGTATATTACTTTATTTCCTCCAAATACATTTCACAAACCCATCTCAGATCGCTAACTCGTGTACACTACATGCGCGTATATGACCTTATTTCTCCAAATACACTTCACAGTAAATCCCAACTCCGATCACTAACCTTGTACACACTACATGCGCGATTTAGGCTTGCCGAGGAACGGGTAGTCGGTGTAGCCCACGACGGGGTCAGGGGTGTAGAACGTCTTCCTCACGTACTTGTTGAGGCCGGCGTTGAGCCTGAGCCGCTCGACCAGGTCCGGGTTGGAAATGAACAGCCGCCCGAACGACACCAGGTCGGCGTCGCCGCTCTCCACCGCCTCCAGCCCGAGCTCCCGCGTGTAGCCGCCGCTGCACATGAACGTGCCCTGGTATGCACCCCGCAAGGTGCGCATCAGGCGGCTCTCTTCCTCGGCGCTGCCGTGCGGGCCTGACTCCGTCTGCCCGTAGGCCGCGTACCTCGGCTGCGTCACGTGGAGGTAGGCGAGCTGCCCGGCTTCCTGCTGGAGGGCGTTGACCCGCTCAACGACGGCCATGCCGAGCTGCATCGGGTTCGAGTCGTAAGCGTCAAGGTGGTCAATGGCCGGTGACACCCTCACCGCAGTTCGTTCTGCTCCGATGGCAGATACCACGGCTCGGGTCACCTCGAGTAGAAACTTGCAACGGTTGGTGAGCGATCCGCCGTACTCATCGGTGCGGTCGTTTATGCCGTCCTTGAGAAACTGATCGATGATGTAGCCATGAGCGCCGTGGATCTCAATGCCATCGAAGCCTGGGGATGCAGTTCATCTCCATATCAGCTTACAACTTACAGGGGTCGTTTCCGCTCGTTTAGGTTTATATGGTTGGATGCAAAGGTTTGTGAATTTAAGCATGCCGTTTACCTGCTTTGATGGCGTTTATGGCGGCTTGGCGATATTGCTCAACTATGTCCGGTATTTCCGATGTCGCAAGGCGCCTTGGCGTGGGATACGTTCCATATGAACCATCAGGCAACAATATCTTCCACCTTGCTGATATCGGCTTACCAGTTGAGGATATTGGAGCAGCGCCGTCTGGCTGGTATACTGGTGGATGAAAGAACATTAGTCAAAATTGGAGAACAGATGGTACGTTTACATGCTGTTCATGCTCAAATCTGATGACAGAATAGCAGTTCAGATTTCCAACATAAAGTCAAAGTCATGAATTTTTCAAGAACACAAGAGTTATGACGTTTGTGGTCTTCTATGTTTTGACGATTTCAATATGTTGTAATCCAGATAGATAAAACTATAAATCAATCACGTCCCGGAGTCTCAAGAAAAAATAAAAGTGGATGCAAAGATATATCTTCAAGGGCAACTGATAATCTAGGGCGATTGCGTTTAGTAAACCTGTTGCGGATTTCAAAGAAACTGTGTTACCATTACACACATAAATACACACCTTGGTGAGAAGCTCTGCCTACGTGCCATAATTGGCAGAAAAAGATGCCTCCCTTGGCATGAACAGCATCCACCACCTTTTTCCATCCATCTATCTGCTCTTGATTGTATATTCCAGGGACATGAGGAAACCTATCCAACAATGTTTTATTAGTTAATCTTCTGAATTGGCGGTAGAAAACTAAGATAAACTTGCTATATGTCCATCAAGTGTGAGAATCAGAAGAGCCTCTACTAGACATAAATTACGGTAAATATCTCTAGAAAAGGGCAGATTGTTTGAAAAGAGAAAAAAATCGTGTGTGGAAGTTTACAATTTTACGCAGAAACTACAAGATCAAATTTAATTTTGTACAAAAGATGCAAATTTAAAACTTAGGCGAACAGTGACCCCCACTGACTCTTGTTCAATATGTAATTTTTTCCTTGTATGTTGCAAATACCACTGAGTTTGATGTAAGAATTCATTTATACATCAGGTAAATGTAGTCTAGGACTCCCAGATGTTTTCCTCAAAACAGTATACGCATGGTTGTAGAATTAGGTCTCCCCTATAGTTTATTTTTCATTTGGAGAGCACATGATTTTCATGGAATCCAGGATCCAGCTCATTTTTACGGATGATATATCTCTCCAGTTTCCAAATATCTATACCACGATCATACATAATACAGTAGGTGTGAAGCATTTGGTTAATGGGACCTGACTACTGGTCCCTTCTATATTTGTTATTACTTAGCTTGAGCAGCTGACAGGAAGCCATCTCTTGTTTTTCATGATTGCAAAAGCTTAAGTACTTGAGCTATCTAGAAAAAACACTAAAACTACTTGCGAATCCAATGCATCTCTCTGAAGATAAATCATAATGTAGGTGTTGCCATGTATGATGATTTCCCTACTCATACTCTGCAACTCCACTTGAAAAGGGCATGGAGTCAGAAAAAAAGGCTACGAGCTTCTGATGGATATTCAATCACATGGTCAGACTGTGGGTACATTAGAGTCAAAGCGCAACAGGAACCTACTTTAGTGATCTAAACGCTCTTATATTAATTTACAGAGGGAGTAGTTGCTAATTAAATATGTCCTGAACCACAATTGACGCACTTATAGTACAAGTTTAAGGAACTTACTCCGGTTCCCAAGATCAGGGACCTAAATCACAAGCCGAACATATGTTACTCGTTATACTACTTTAAACTATGAAGCAAGGTAGGTCCTCGGTGCTCGTCACTCAACCACCACCTATGAATAGAAATAATGGAAACCAAAGCTAGTACTCTAACCAAATATCCAACGACAAAATGGCCTAACAACCACACTTAAGAGAATCATTCTGCCAGATACTCAGATCTAGCAGGAATATTTATCAGAGGAATGCGCACGCAGTGCTACCAGTAAACAAATCCAAGACCGAGTAAACGACAGTACGACGAGCGCGGATTCTGAAACAGGGACAGTAAACTAGTCCGGACAAGAGCATCGACCATGTGCGGACCATGGAGCGGAGCGAGAGAGAGGTATGAAGTGACGAGATTACCCCGGCCCGGCCGGCGAGACGACGGTGCCCTCGGAGATGAGCAGCCCTCCCTGGGTGGAGCGCTGCGAGTAGTACTCCGCCAGCGCCGGCCCCGGCAGCCCGCCGATGGCCCTGCACCTCGTCATCGGCGCCAGCACCACCCTGCGCGCAGAAATGGTCGCCAGAGTCGAACGAGTGAGCGAAGACCAGAGACGGCCGAATTTTCGGCGCGGATTGAAGGGGGTGGCGGCTCACCGGTGGGCGAGGCTGAAGCGGCGCATCTGGTACGGCGAGAAGAGCGTGGACCGCTGGTCCGGCGCCGGCCGATCCATCTGGAGCTCTCGCGCTGGATCGAGAGGGGCAGTGGGCGAGGCGGGGGAGAGGAGGGGGAAAAGAGGGCGCGGCGAGAAGCCAATTGTGGGAGGCAAAGGAAGAATTGGGTGGGAATGGGATGGTGGGCTTCGAAAGCGAACGAATTAAAGCGCACGCGGGGTGTTAAAAGGCGGGCGCTGGAGGAGGTCTTTTTCAGCATGTGGTTTGCGTGTTGACACTTGGATGCAATGATATGAATCTGAAAGCACGCCCCCGATCATCGAGGTGAAAACCTTTTCTTCAGCTATGTGTTGATTTTGACATAGCAATAAATTTATTTATTTATTTATTTGCTAAAGAGCAAAAATAATAATTGAAATGGTCTTAGATGAACACGTTCTCAACGATGAAAGTCATTAGTCTCGTTAGGACGAACAATTTTGCTTCTCATCATCTCCCATTCTCAATCCAAGGTCATATGCAAGCTGTAGAACCGGATCATGGTCAAGGATAGAAGCTTACAAAAGTCAGGGTTTTTTTTTTTTGCGAATTTGCAAAAATCAGGTTGATATTCCGAGCCTACATAAGGATGCATCCCTTGCTCAGTTAACCGTCGAACAGCTCGACCCACGTCTGACCTGCATCTTCAACGTTGACCCACAAATTTCCTCTCGCATCCGTCCATGGACACGGACATGGGAGTCGGCCATTCAGCGTTGTCCGCGTACATTTCAACCATTGTTTGAACTAAACGGACGAAATCCATGCAAGCACGTGGAATTCATATAAACTAAACAAAATTCATTACATTTTGTAAAGTTTTTAACTAAAAACTATACCGGACTAAGGTAAAATTAGTCTACAGTCGGCACCGACGGATATCCATTCCCATGACATGATACCCTTGACTAGTCTACGGTCGGTCATAGCGGATCTCCATTGCCTTCCCCATGTCCGGCAGCCCGCTCATCGGACTGGTGTGAGCTCCGGAAGTATATGCTTCAACACAAAGGGCGGCTCGCTGATGTCTACTACACAACTTTATTCTTGTAGACTCGTGTTGGGCCTCCATGCGCAGAGTTTTATAGGACAGTAGCAATTTTCCTACAACTAGATGACCTAAGTTTTATCAATCCGTGAGAGACATAGGATGGAGATGGTCTCTCTCAAACAACCATGCAACCAAATAACAAAGAGTCTCTTATGTCCCCAACACATCAAATACAATGGTAAATTATATAGGTGCACTAGTTCGATGAAGAGATGATGATACAAATATAGTAATGATAGTAGATATTAATTTTTGTAATAGGAACAATAAAAAATAGCAAGGTAGCAAGTAACAAGAGTGAGCACGAACGATATTGCAATGCTTGAAAATGAGGCCTAGGGTTTGTACTTTCGCTAGTGCAATCTCTCAAGAATGCTAATATAATTGGATCATATAACCATCCCTCAACGTGCGATGAAGAATCACTTCAAAGTTCTTATCTAGCAGAGAACATAAGACGAAATTGTTTGTAGAGTACGAAACCACCTTAAAGTTATCCTTTCCGATTGATCTATCCAATAGTTCGTACTAAAATAATACCAAGTTATCCTTTCCGATCGATCTATCTAATAGTTTGTACTAAAATAACACCATATGGTATACATCAACCAACTCTAATGTCACCTATATGCTCCAATGTCACCACGAGTATCCGTGAGTTGATTATATGATATGCATCAAACAATTCAGATTCATAATACTCAATCCAATCCAAAGAACCTTCAAGAGTGCCCCAACATTTCTACCAGAGAAACAAAGACGAGAACATGCATCAAGACACGTACACATACTTGTCCGGTTGGCTCTTGCGCCTCTCTTTGAGCATGTGGTCTCGGGTTCGAGTACTCTTCCTGGCTTAATAAACCACCTCTTTTTTGGTTGGCATAGCCACTGACAAAAGTGTCCCACAAGCTAGTAATTGCACCCATCACCTATGACCATGAAGCCACTAACAAAGGTGTCCCACGCGCCAGTAACTGCGACCACAACCTACGACCGCGCAGCCGCTGACAAAGCTATCCCACAAGTCAGAATATGTGCCCACCATCTACGACCGTGCAGCCGCTGACACAGGTGTTCCACAAGTTAGAATATGCACCCATCATCTACGAGTGCGCAGCCGCTGACAAAGGTGTACCACAAGTCAGTATATGTGCCCACAATCTACGAGCGAGCAACCGCTGACAAGGGTGTCCCACGCGTCAGAAACCACACCAAGTAACGGTCAAAGACTTTGACCCGACGGCAAACCCCCGTTTGGGCTTTTGCGAGGGTGGGCCGCGCAGTGGAGGGGAAAACTGAGGACTGGCTTAGAGCGTGGGCAAAATTGAGAAGAACTAAGCGAAGAGGGGCACAAAAATAGAAATTCCTTAAAATATCCCCATGGGATAATATCAAGATCCCAACACTCTGGCACACAATGATTCATTGTTGTCAATCAACCTCCAGCACTGTTTTGCTAGCATCACCAAATTAAAACTATGAACGTCATGAAAACCCATACCTCCTCGTTCCTTTGGCACACATATTTTTCATCATGCAAACCAATGCATCCTTCACTGGTCATCCTCGTCACCCCACCAATACTATGACATTGCATCAGTGATCCCCTTACATTTTTTAGGGAATTTAAACACACTCATCGTGTATGTAGGGATGATTTGGGCCACTGCTTTCAGTAAGGCCTGCTTTCCTCCAAATGAGAGGGTTCTCTCTTTCCATCCATTTACAAGTTTTTGTATCCTCTCCATTTAGAGATGGCTTGGGCCAGAAGCAGAAGCATACAAAGTCAAAGCTTATGGACATCTCTCTCAAGAATAATACTTATACATGTATGCTCCTCTGTCATACCATGACCCGGACACTAATTCATGCGAATTGAAGGGTTAAAATAGTATGTTCTTGTACCAGATGCCGTCTTCTCCAAAGACGTATTCGCTGCGTGCCGGTGTCGTTGATCAATCTCATCTCGTGAGTGTGCCCGTGAGCATGCACTTGGGCCGGCTGGCTGCCTTGGCGACATGACATGCCAGTGTCGTTCGGCCTAGACGCGAACAACGTACATATGTAGTTGCTTGCAAGTCCACAGGAGATGAGAGCCATAAGCAGAAGCTACAAAGGAACTGATAGATCGTTTGGAAATTGGCACAATCGGCCCGCAAGGGGTATATCATGCATATACCTGTACCGAGAGAGCCATCTGACTCTCCTCTAGCACGAGGCTACCAAGTAGGCCTAGTACAAACTGTTCGCATAAACAGTTTTGGGAAGGTTTTATGGACTCATTCGGTCCGGTGTT